ATTTTTTTTCATGTTTATATAGATATTACTGTATTCATTTTATTGTAATGTTTTAGACACACTCTTTTAATTTTTTAATATTTTAATGTTAAGTTTGTTATTTATAAATTGTGATGTAATTTTGAAATTATTAAATTTTATAGTGTCCTGAGGATGTCACGATAAGTGACGAAACGTCGACAATTGAGAAAATTTGCTGTTTTTCTTTGAAATTTGGCCTCTAATCTTCCCACTATTGACAACAAACTGACTAACAATACAGTTGGGTATCTATTCAAAACTGTTCTAGGAGTGTCCGCTGGCAGAACCGAAACAAGCATTGCATAACACAAATTTTTACGGATATAGAACAAACGGTTGTCAGTAACAGCTTTTTTGCACACGACCCTGATCTACTTCTTTAGGGAAGAAAATATTGACGGTAATGGCTTGAAAAATACAACAAACTAAATGTTAGTCTTTTTCAATGGCTACCTTAATAAAAGGAGGATATATCGGCTTTTTATGGAACTGTGTATATTTTCTTTTGATAGGTAGGTACCAAACTTCATTGAAACTAAGCTCAACGATAAGACGAAAACATTAATGAATTTAGTTCGTTAAAAAAGTTGCTGTTTGTTCGGATTTCTTACATTTTTGTATCGTTTTAATTTGTTTAACTGTACTGATCGGATAAAAATGATAAAACTGACGACTAATGAATTTCAATAATTTTGTCTAGCAATCAATTCTCACATATCTTTAAAACTAAGAAACGATTTCAGATTACTTTTTCAAAGAGATTTTTCAAATTCTTTTCCGACTCGCCAACCCATTTGTCCAGAATGTCGGCTCCTTTCCTTTGAAAGAACGAAACCTTGCCAATACCTTCCCTGTTTATTTCCGCCGCTAAAGCTGCTGCTACCAAAGTCTTACCAGTTCCTGCAAAATAGCTGGTAAAACTTACACCAAAGAAATACTTCTTTACTTACCCGGGGGTCCATAGAATAGCACACCTCTTGGTGCTTTAATTTTAAAGTGGGAAAAGACATTTCCGTGCAATAATGGAAATATAATGACTTCTCTTAAGGTCTTAAGATGGTTGTTGAGACCACCGATTTTAGAAAAGTCTACAACGTCTTTGGTAGACTTATCCCTTCGTAGGGCTCTGTTTCCTGGTCCGTTTTCTATGTTTTTATTTAAAAGGGACATGTTAACTTTAAATTTTTATACAAACCACGAACTTCTAGATGACATTCAATGTCAAAATTTTACATTTTTTCAATATGGCTACTTCATTCAAAAATTAATTAGCTGTTTTAGTTATACATATAAGTTATGCTACCTATCAATACTGTAGGTATCTACTATAGGATAGCAGTATCAAAATATGAAATAATCTAAATGACTGATTTAGGTATCTTATGAAATTAATAGGAAATTACTTATAACTACAAGTCACATAAACCAATCGTACAGTATTAAAGTAGGTACATACATAATTTCTGAAAATTCGTAAGACAAATCTACCTAGTAGGTACCTAATACCTACCAGAAATACCAAACTTTAATGGAAAAGTAATTGAAAAGTTTATTTCGGACAAAAGCAGAAGAATGGACTTTCACTACAAAAAAATAATGTTGAACACATTTTCCCTATATTTCAATAGTCCCCAATTATATTTAATTTTTTATTTAACACTTTGTACCTAAATTTTGTTGGTTGTCCCGGGGAAATCATGAAACAGACAAGACATACAGTTTTGTATTTAATTTAGCAACGAAAATAAAGCGAAAAAAAATTAAAAAAGGACGAAAACAGGAAATGTCAAAAAATATAATGTTTGACGATAACCGGAAATCCTCTGAATCCTCCTTACCTGTTAATTGTACTGAAGACGATAACAAAACGGTTTTGTGGAAGATATTTGTGATTCTTTTAAAATAAAGTAACATATATTTTTTGAATAATACTTATTTTAATTCTTTCTATTGGTTAAGTGATATGTAGGTATATGATATGACCAATTTGACATTAAGTTATAAAAATAAGAGAGAGAAAGAGATATTGATATTATACATATGAAAAATTATGTTATTTGGAACTAAAAGTATAATTGTTTTAAAATAAGAAACAAGGTGTAAGTTGGAAATCACATGAAGAAACAAAATTATAAGCAAATTATAATACAAGAAAAACATTAAAAAATATATTTTTATTCATTGGAATTGGAAATACAGATTTGATCTTTGGTTGCAGTTTTCTGTTTATGTTTAACAATTTCTATAAAGGACAATATTTTACCACACTAACACGAGAAGGCCTTAGTGAATGCATGCTTCGTCCGTCCTATTGCTATTGACTCAAATATTATTAAATGACTGAAAATTCCAGCCTTGGCGATATACCGGTAATAAATAAATATTAAGTCTAAATTTGCTGTTTATGTATAATTTAAAAATAATTAAATACAAACATTTAAGGATTAAATAATAACCTTCACAATTCAAGTTTAAAGCTATAAAGCTAATCCTATTGTTAAATACCTATAATATAGGTATTTAACAATAATATATTATATTATTGAAAATATATAAATTTCTTAAACCTATGGGTAAACCTACAAAATTAAAAACGTTTTTCATTCCCCCATTTCCCCCTCTATAAAATTGGTGCGTTACATATAGAGCTAAAACAGATACAAATTTATTTTTTTTTAATTTAAAATTGCAGAGCTAAATTTTTAAAATATGGAAATAAACATAAAATTTTATATATTGTCAATGAATATTGATACTAATTTATTACAATTGTTTTTTTTAATAAAGTAGTGTATTAATTTTCAAAATTAAAGTTTTAAGTAAATAAAATATTTAATTAAAAATTTCCAGTCTAATAATTTCTTAGTTAAGAAAATTTTTGTACTTTTTTCGAATTTCTAAGGGGGCGGCTGACCCCCCTGCCCCATCTTGACGACGCCCTTGGTCCGTACGATATTTGTTGAGATAGAATTCCCCAAGAATTCCTCATGTAAATGTGAATTTCTAGAAAATGGTTCGTTTTTTCAAAAATAAAGAATATATTTTATTCTGTAGAAATATTTACGTTCTTTTTAATAGTTTAACGATATTTTGGTTGGGTTTTATTCGTGAGCAATATTTTGCGTATGGATGAAACTTATGAATTTTTTTTTTATTAGTGTTAGTAGGTACACAAAGAGTTTACACACGTCAAAAAAAAATTATAGTAGTAATATAAAATCATTATGAAAAAAAAATAACAGTAAAATATACAACACAGTACACATACGCGTATAACAGTGTTGACACGTTAACTATATAGTTCATAATTTAAAGAACAACGGAAATGGTAATAAAACAATACAAGTACAAGCAATAAATGGTTATCAAATGTTAAAATAAAATGTTTGTAAGAGGACAACAAAACAAACAAACAGTAAATGATACATGTTAAAATAAGATTATGAGTAATGTAATAAGAAAAAAACTGAAATAATGCAACTGAAGTGTGCGAAGCGGCCTATGTCTAAGTTAGTCATATTAGGGTGAGATCGTTTTTTAAAAATTCTTGCGTAGTATAAAATGCGTTGGTTAATAGTGTTTTATTTTTCTTTTAAATAAAGTAGGGTCGAGATGACGTACTGGAGCTGGTAATGCATTAAAAAACTGGATGTCCAAATATGATGTGCCATTACCTGTTTTAAGCGATGAAAGTTTAAGTTTATGTCATTTTTGTTTCTAGTAATATTACGAGAATGGATTTGGCTACGGACAGTAAACGACTTTTCATTTTCTTTTACCTACAAAAGACACTGGTTTAAGGTTTGTATAATTTTTTTGTGGGTTCACTCTGAATTACCTTTTCAAGCTAAATGCTGAAAATCGATTTTTCGTAATAACTTTTATTTCTCATTTAAATTTTGCTAATATATGTATAAAATTGTTTAATGTAGTAGTTTGCTTCTTCTCTCAATTAATGTTGTATAAATGACTTTCTACACCTCAGTGCATAAAAAAAATCGAGAAGATTCAAATTAGATGATCAGGACAGAGGATAATTGACTTGACATTTGATATTATGTATTTATTATTAAGATTTGTTAGAGTAAACATTGATAAGTACCAATGACCATACATATTGTTGCGGCAATCAAAACGTGTTAAAGAATATTGGTTTTACTAATACAGAACATTTTTCTAATTGAATATACAGGGTGTCCCAGAAAAACGTGTACAACGGAGGACCACAGATTCGTGGACTCAAAATAGGCAGATCCTAGATATGCCTATATCCGAAATCTCTTCGTTTGGCCGCTAGATGGCCTCAAAGTTCGTGAAAATTTTTTGAACTTTGTAAACAACTCGAATACGTATTAATCGATTTTGATTATTTTTGGGGTGTGAACTTTTGCTTTCAATCTACACATGTAGGTGTTATACAGTGTTTTTTTTTAAACTTACAACTACAAAATTGATAATGGTGATAATATCAGTTCATAACTCTTTCCTCTTTCGGGCAATAATGACAACTACTTTTTATTTGATAGGTGATACCATTTGGAAGTGTTTGGGCCTGTTGTAGAATTTTTGATGAAATGAGTGGTTTGGGTACAAAAAAATATTTTTCAAATGTCTGCATTATCTTCCCACCCATATTGTAATAGTTAACAAAGTGTTAGTAGGCACTGATTTTGTATATACCTGATAATTCTTAGCGAGTGTTTACGAAGATGATATAACACCTGTTACCTACTTCATTTTTCGATATGGATACACACACATACGACGATTTAGATCTATTTACACGTGCACCCCTTACACACATTGTGAGATAGCAACTGGGTGTACATCTGCACTTACCATAGCAGAAGTGTTAATGAAGTATTAGAAGTTTTTCTGAACTTTGACAAAAAATCAATTTGTTTCTTGGAATACTTCTGTAAGGCACTTAGTATATTCTTGGGAGCATTATGATGAATAAAACACTTTTTTTTTAAATATTTTTATTGTTTAGATTTGGAACAATAGAAATTTTAAATTTTATATTGGTTAATGTTAATTAACATGAATTCAAAAATGGTAAATGAAAATTTCAACCTCACCAGTATACCAATTTCAACAATAACAAAAACTATGAAGGCACATATGTACAAACTACATTAATTCTGTTAATCAAATTTTTAAAAAATAATTCAGCCTTTAGATTGGCAGTGCAAACTGACTTGGTAAATTCCTGCTTAAAGGTTGAATCTAGATCTTAATTTTTAAATAATAAAATTCAAACAAAAATTTTGATTTGGCAATAAGTAAAGAAAATTTAAAAACTTATCGTTTCAATTTATTTTCAACCAAATACCTATTTTGGAGTTGTGCCTATACATATACAGGCTATCTTCTAAAAAACGCCGCAAGCCATAACCGTCATTTATAGTCTGATTTTAAAAAATAAAAAATTATATGAAATGGCTCTAAATACACTACAGAGTGAGCCTATTGGAGCGTATTTATTATTATTTTTTTTGAAAAGCGATAGTCAACTTTTTTTTTTCAAATGGTTTTTCTTATTTATTATTGTGCAGATTTCTATTCTGAATTCAACGGTGTATATAAAGTTTACTTTTGTGAAACACGTATTACAAAAAACGCATGAAAATATTAGTCAATACCGCATTATTAGCATCTGGTCGCTTAATTGTTAACAAACATATTTTGACTAATCATGTATACCTGGGAAATAAAAAATAATACAACAAAGCAAGTAAATGTCATTTTAGCGTTCGTGTCCTAGTTTTTTACGCATTAAACTCTTTCTGTATCATTTACAATAGGTTATTTATTGAAATAAGCTCAACAGTGTAAATATGAGTAATAATCAATTGATGGACATGATTCAGGTATACTTTCGGTATAATAAAAATCGTGGTCGTGGAGTCCGCCTTTACAGAGAACTATTTCCTTACAGAGAAGTTCCAGAACCACGTAGATTTGTAAGACTTGAAGAAAATTTGAGAAACTCTGGCGCTTTTAAGAAACCAAAGCGAGAAGAATGCTAAATTTAATGAAAACATCGAGTTCAATGCTCTTCTTAACTTTGAAGAAAACCTAAGAACTTTCATTCGGGAAATTTCTAATAACATTAGAGCATCAAAAAGAACTGAACATTCAGTATTAAAAATGCACACATTCAAGCC